GAAACCCGTTACACAGGTATTAATATTTTTCCCTAAATGAATAATCTTTAAATCCTTCCGACCTAATCGTAAAGCAGTGTGAGAACAATATACGTATTAGAAATACATTAAGCCAACTATCTTTATGACACTATAATAATAATAATTTATTTTATTTCTATAACAATACGTAATGAATTATTCATAATCGCGAAGCATCAAATAGTATTGAATCTTAAAATCCAAGATACTTTTTGTGGTAAAGAGACTAAATTAAGATATCAGATTCCGGTTTTTTGATGGGATTTTAAGTTAATTTTGTCATATGACGTAATTTAATTATAACGTAGTACATATAAAACGTCATAGAAATTATGGTTATTATAACTTCTAGAGGAACAACAGGTCCAACGAATCCCGACGATGCAAACAGACAACACTGAATATGAATTGAGAAACTGTAATCATGAACTCTCACGACAGGAGATGAAATTATAGTTTGAATTTTAAATAAACCAAATTGTACTTGTTCTAGTATTGAATGAATAAATCACTGTTTTATTCCAGATCGTTAAAACAAAGTCTATTTTAAATGTCTTTCGTTTCTTTAAGTCACTATTTCCGTCCGTATCAGAGAGCAGTTAGTTTTTGTTATTTTTAAATCTCAGTTATTGTTACTCGTCATTTCAAAGTGATAAAAGTAAGTAATCTACAGTCGTTGGTAGCAAACCGTTCCGTCTTTAACTTTAGTCTACGCTACACTATAAACATACAATCTCGTGTTACGAAGCGTAAAGTATATCATTTAATTCTAGTATTTTAGAACGCGTTGTTAAATTATATTTAGTATAAAACAAGTTACTTTATTTATAATCTTCTATATATATAAAAATGGATTGCTGTTCCTTAGTCTCGCTAAAACTAGAGAACAGCTGAACGGATTTATCTTATATTAGTCTTGAAATGTTCGTGGAGGTTCAGGGAAGGTATAAAAGGTGAGAAAAATTGGAATAATTGGTGGGAAAACCCTAAAAACAGCCCTTTTCTATTTCCCATACAAACGCTTTTTTTGACATTAGATTTGACAACTAACTAATATGTCAATCATTCTGTTTGATTGAAACAGGAAAAACCTGATTATTTATGGCCTCTAAGACGGAATAGAGTTCGCCTGGTCAGCTATACATATATTACTAAGGGGCCATCCATAAAGTACGTCACACGTAAAGGGGGTGGGAGGGGGTCGACAAAGTGTGACATGGTGTGACAAGGGGTGGGAGGGCTCCTAAGTTTCGTGACATCACATTTCAAAATCTAGAGCTACTAATCGCGTAATTTGAAATATTAATTAAAATCTTTAAAACTGAGCGCGTCATCACATGAATTACTATCAATATTTAAGGAGAATACTCGGTACATGATTCTCATTCGAATTATGTAAAAAAAAGGTACTTAATTTTTGACTAAATTTCCGTATAAATAAATAAAGTGAGGACACGTTCCAAGTGTTCCAAGTGTGGACGCGTGCTAGCGACGTGCTGATACAACACCACGCCGCCAAACGCGCGTGTGTGTGTGTGTATACCTAATCTGAAGACTGTTCACACGATGCGTAATGAATTACATAACTTTTGGTTAACTTTACTTAGAAGTTTATTAATATTTATGTTATATTAATTTTTATTTTGTCATATATAATCGTCAAATTAGGTGGTAGAGCCTAGCTGTAGTCAATTTACTACAGCTCGAACATGGGCTGGCTCGACCGGGGAAGTACCACCCTCTCACAGAAAATCGGCGTAAAGTAGTCTTTAAAGGCTGCGTTTCGTCCGGTGAGTGAGAGAGCCGGTTGCCCTTTCCCTTTTCCCACCCTTTCCTTTCCCTCCCTTTCCCACCTTTTCCTCCTCCTTTTCCCCAATCAAGGGCGGCAACACATCCGCAAATCTACGTTGCGGATGTCCATGGGCGACGGTAACTACCTACCATCAAGTAGGCCGTCTGCTCAGTTGCCCCCTTTTCCCATAAAAAAAAAAAAAAAAAAAACGTCCTCAAGTATCGATAGTAATTCACCAGTCACCCTGTATATATTCATTAATTTATTTATTATTTCAAATATTTGATACTATGTTGATTTCTTAAAAAAGTACTTATTTTAAATGGAAATAAAACTAATTTCGGAACTGCTGTTTTAATTTCATAATTTTTCGATGTTAAATTGCAAAACATGTGACGTCACACTAGGGAGGGGGGGGGTCTCAGAAATGTGACCACCTGTGACAAGGACGGGGGAGGGCTCAAAAACTCATGAAATTAGTGTGACGTATTTTATGGATGGCCCCTAATGACGAAACTAACGCGGACGAAGTCGCGGGCAAAAACTAGTAAAATATATAATACAAATGAATTAATAGTTTAAATTTGCTTTGGGAACGATCAGTGCTGAATACAATGTATATAATTGTAAGTTAGAACATATATTGAGTAATTTTCTACAATTAAATGTATGAATAACTAAATTGAGCGTTTCCTCGATATAATGAAATCGCTTTAAAACTACAAAAGTTACTCATAGTTTTAAAGCGATTAAATGTAATTTTAACAATAGTGTAATTATGCAATTATATTAGTATTATAATAATTCTCAAACACCTTAAATTGAAACATTGACTTTCAACTATCGATAACACGGTACACGTATGAGAATTGACTTTATGGTTATTGTAATACTTAGACTTATTTTAGACTTTTTTTATCATCGTACTACAGCAAAAAATATTCAGTCGATTTAGGAAACTCTAAAACCATATATGTACAAGATATAGTTATAACCAAATTATAATCGGAGGTAAGACAATAATTCGTTCTACATGGGCCATAAATAATTCGTAAATGGACATTCCTCGTATAAACTCCATGGGGTCACGCAATAAAATCAACTTTCCTTTGACCGGCGACCGGAGCGTCCGTAGTTACGTAACCGTGTCTTGTTTGAACTTATCGTGACGGACAATGGAAACGCATTCATCTGTTGACGACACCTTATATTATTGCTATGATCGTATTATATGTTTTATTTCATACTAGTTTTTGCCCGCGACTTCGTCCGCGTTAGTTTCGTCATTAGTAATATATGTATAGCTGACCGGGCGAACTCTATTCCGTTTTAGAGGCCATTAATAATCAGGTTTCTCCTGTTTCAATCAAACAGAATGATTGACATATTAGTTAGTTGTCAAATCTATTGTAAAAAAAAACGTTTGTATGGGAAATAGAAAAGGGCTGTTTTTAGGGTTTTCCCGGAAATTCATCAATTTTTTTCAGCTTTCAAACCTTCCCTGAACCTCCACGAACATTTCAAGACTAAGATAAGGTAAATCCGTTCAGCCGTACTCGAGTTTTAGTGAGACTAAGGAACAGCAATTCATTTTTATATATATAGAAGATAGATAGATAGATGACATAGGAGCATCTTCACACACACTTCATAACTCGATAAAGACATTACGGAATATCTTATACGAAGCTTCTTACATGTAACCCCTAGAACGGAAGTACTTCCTCGATTCAATTGTGAATATTATTAACGTATGTTCGCTCGACTTGTGTGCTGTATCGATTTTTTTCATTATTATTGTGTTCGATACAATTTGCGTCAGACAAAATGGAAAACGAACAGCGTTTTCTATTTGAAGTCTCTTTTTATATAACTTTGAATATTTAATTGGCGTAAATACGAGTCCTTTGACAATTTAAAAGTATAAATGCTACATGTTTCATATAAAATGAGACGATAACGTATTTAAAGATAACAATCTACATGTTAATTGATAAACAATATATCAAACAAATGTCCATGTTTAACTGATATTGGGTTACTAGCTTTTGCCGCGACTCCGTCCGCGTGGAGTAGTGACTTCCGGCAGATTTTTGGTTCTTCCCACATAGTTCCCGTTCTTGCGGGGTTTTCGGAATGGTCGAATTCCCGTAGAATTTTCAGGATAAAACCTATGTTTTTTTTATTCACAACGAAGTACTCTTAACCAACAACATATTTATTAGTTTATTTGAGTAAAGATTAATATTATTATGTTGATACAACTTAAACAAATTATTTCGACCAAATTAGGTACCATAAAAACGATTTTTGTGAGTTAATCTTTAAAGATAGACATATACTGTCCGGGACTGTTTTTTAGATCATTAAAAGAGCTATTATTCTTTCATACATATTTTTTGTGTATCTTGAACCGTTTTGACGGAGCGCGCAACGGAAGGCTTCAAAGATGAAATAATTTCTCCAGTTTTTTACACATTTACCACTGTATCTTTGCTCCTATTAGTTGTAGCGTGATATTATATAGCCCACAGCCTTCCTCGATAACTGGACTATCCAACACAAAAAGAATTATTCAATTCGAACCAGTAGTTTCGGAGATTAGCGCTTTCAAACAAACAAACAAACAAACTTCAGCTTTATAATATTAGTATAGATTGAATAGTGACTAATGAGTGACAGTTAAGTAACAGAACACTCAGTTGGTTCTTAACATGTTGTATACATTATTTAGTACATTCTTAAAATATATTATTATTATTAAACATGTCGCCAAAGACCGTATAATGTTCTACTGTGAACTGATAACGAACGACTTTAATACGGTTACACGACTTATTTAATAACACACCATTAAAATAAATAATGTTCCGAAACGACAAACACTTTGACGAGTAGTGTCAAGTGTGTTTATTGTATGTGTTGCATCAGAGAAAACATATAAAGAAATTCATAGTATAGTGATTTAATAAATCACGTACCTATATTTGTATTTCGTCGGTGGATTTATTTATTAGACTACAATCATGAGATAACAATGACCAAACCAAAATTAAATTGATTAAGAGCAACTAGAGTGGACGATCGAGGGGTTAGTCCTAGAATCCTGATTGACTTATCTCCTTTACTTTCTATACTTAGTACTTTAATATACTTTGTAATTAGTTTTAAGAGGCGTTGTATTCGTTTAGATAATAGAGTCTGAATTATTCTCTTTACGAAAACATTTAGTAAATAAAAGTGTAGACGGCTCGAGCTCAGCTGCTTCATTATAAGAGTAGTGTGTGAACAACGTGTCAAACGACAATGCAGCGATCAAAACAAACAGCTCGCCGGCCGCTGTGCCGGAGCCGCGAGCTCGTCCTGACATTCCCGACATAACGCGATCGATAGAAACAATCAAAATAGACGCGACACTCCACAGCACGCGATTTACTGCTGGTTCCATTGTTAAGGTAAATCTAATAAGGTCCACTTATTGTTGTTAAAAGATAAAATTCATGTTACAACTCTTCCAAGACGAATCTGATAAGACTAGAAAAATGTTTAACCTGCGAATAGACTGGTAATATTTGGAGTACTTACCAAATGAAGAACAGTGTTGACCACCTCTCGGTTGGTTACCTGTCCAACTTCAATCAGCCCGATGAGAACTGCGAATTTCAGGCTATCGTTGGTCGTCATCCTGACGACTTCCTCAGGTCTTTTAATGTCACTAAAAGGCGGTGATTTTAGATCCACCATGGTTCACAAGGTCACAATTCACTTATTCACAAGATTTATTATTCACTATCGACGAAAAAAATCAAGAAAACATCATTTCATCGGCTCACATGATAACGCACCAATGTCGCTTCTGCCATTTTGGATTTCTTCAGTGTTGCTAACAATAACACGATGTAGACTTAAAATTTACCCAGAAAATCGATAACGAATAAAATAATGTAATTTAAGTATTCCTTATTTTCTTTAAGTAAGGCAAATGAAATATTTAAATTTTTAAGTCATCTTAAAATTTCTTTTAACCTGAATATTGATATTTTTTCAAAGCTTTAATAAGAACCCATAATTATCTTTAGCGTTGATAATTTATTTATTGAGCTTTACTAGATAGATTACTATACACTTATATTTTTCGTTTTATGAATCATTTCATTATTTTAAAATAAAATATATAAAATGTTTATTACCCTCAATTTTTGGTAAATATTTAAACTTAGCAATAGTCCTGCAGAGTTGCCAACTTAACAAAAATTAAAATAAATGTTTGAATCAGATATGTATTGTTTGGATATTACTTATAAACTTACAAAAATCCTATTTATTCTTATTGCTGTTACTGTTGTTTGAATCTTTAAAACTGTTAACATTCAGCTTTCTACAAAATCATTGTTATATAGTTGTACGTCTTGAGGCCTGAAGTTGCTGCATATAACAAATGTGTGGGGACTGGGAACTTCAAAATTAAATTAATACAAGCTTCACTCAGTGTTAGTCACTATCTGTCGTAGAAAGGATAACATGGCGGCTATCGATACTAACGGCCCTGCGAAAGTAAGTTTTATTATTTTTCGATTTCAAGTACAAGGAAAAGCAAAACAAACACTAAATCTTTATTTCTATATATTCCATTCCTATTATATGTCACTAAAATTAACTTTAACTTGTTTTATTATTCATTTCAAAAGTTGCAAAACCTGGGCGTTCTCCATTTGTTTTTTGTGTTTATTAAATGCAATCAGTGTTTGTCAATTACTGTATAGTGGAATGGAATGTTATCCTATTGAAAAACATTCCGTTTACAAAAAACAAACAACGCGCTATAAAATTGTTTATATATAAATGAAGCTGCGTGTAGTGTGTTTACGGATTTTCTGATCATTAATAGATTGAACCTGCAATGCGTACTCTGAAGCTGTCAGGGCACGTCGGTTTCGACAGTCTTCCAGATCAGCTCGTTAATAAGAGCGTTCAGAATGGATTCGTATTCAATATCCTGTGCATTGGTAAGTAATGAATCACTTGTTCGCTCTCCACCGGCCGCATTAATCTGTTTACTCACTAATTACGTGTTCATTGCTTAAGTTTGATATGGCCCGTGCTAATATTAACACAATCTTAATTGATACACTTGCTTAACTGTTCAATAAATATTCCTTGTTATGTTTAATTTAATGTCTTTTCCTTATAAATTTAATTACAATGTGTATTCAGTAATTACATTAATAGCTTTGTTACAATGTAGTGTACTATAATTTTAGATTTTCCTTAAATATTTATAGTAAATTAGTAACAAATATTGTTAACTGTAAAGGTGAGACCGGTCTGGGCAAGTCGACTCTTATGGACTCGCTGTTCAATACTAACTTTGAGTCAACGCCAAGCCCCCACAATCTACCCACTGTGAAACTGAAGGCTCACACATATGAACTGCAGGAGAGCAATGTTCGTCTTAAGGTGGGACCATAGTTCGATCAGATTTAGCTAAATAAAAGGTTTAAAGAATTTATTCTCAAAAAGACATCGTTACTTACATGAGAACATACATACAAAAGTGAAAATACAAAAAGTAGTCGCCAGATTGTTTGGAACTCAATTAAATGTTTACATTATCCATATAAGTTGGCAAAAATAAGAATAACATTATATTGAAAGTAATTCATTGGCTTAATATTTACAATATAGAAATCTGTGTTATAAATGAGTGTTTTACAACATTTCAGCTGACCATTTGCGATACTGTGGGTTACGGAGATCAAGTTAACAAGGAAGATAGCTTCAAGGCGGTAGTCGATTATATTGATGCTCAATTTGAAGCATATCTGCAAGAGGAGCTCAAGATCAAGCGTTCTCTACCGTCATATCATGACAGTCGTCTTCATGTCTGTCTTTATTTTATATGTCCTACAGGTTAGTCGTGTTTTTTCTATTCAACAACTGTCTATTTTCTTCAAAGATATGTTAACAGAGATTCTAGTAAGTTTTCAAACAAATATTACTCATATGTTATATATATATATACTAGAAGACCCGGCCAACTTCATATCGCCCTATAATCAAGAAATATCTGTTAGGTTTATTTATATTTTTGGAGTTTACCTATTAAAGCCATAAATCTCCTTGTATTGAATTGTCACAGAATGATTGACATATTAGTTAGTTGTCAAATCTAATGTTAAAAAAAAAACGTTTGTATCAACAACTACTAATAAATTAAAAATTAATTAAAAAAACATTGTCCAGTAGACAAAATTGTGAATCTAAACCATTCCCAGATCCCCTTGAACACACACAAAATCGGTCCAGTCATTTGGAAGAAGTTCAGTGACATGCACACTCACAGAAGAATTATATATATAAAGATATAAATATTCTACAATATTGAAACCTGGTTGTCATCTAAATTAGTTGAATATGTCTCTACTGCATTCAATTATCATTTAGTATGTATGCAGTATGTCCATAGGCCATCAGAACACACACAGCATGTGTGACCCCAAATTCACCACCAAATGGGAAGTGAATAATGATTAGTAGTTCAGTAGGACGCGACGCGTTATTTATTGTCCTTGACTTTCGATTATACAGACTACAGGCCGTCCGCTATTCAATATATTTATAAATAATAATAGCACTGTATTTATTTCAATTATATGATTGTCTTGGAAGGGAAAATATATAGGAATCTAAAATGAAAAATAACAGTACATGATACATACGAAACACTTTTATTTAACAGTATAAGTACTGTGCTCCTTTTGACAATTCATGCATCAAAATTAATACTTTTTATGTTTTCATGTTCACTAAGTAACAAGTCATTAATTATTTTATAGGTATAAAAAAAGAACTTAAAAGAATGTAATCAATAATAAAACCTTAAGAAATATTAGCCGCGGTGTTCTTTATGTTTTAAGTAAATTATAATGTATTATTATATATACATTCATATGAAAATGTTTTTATGCTGTTTCCAGGTCACGGGCTCAAGTCCATTGACCTCGTGTGTATGAAGAAGTTGGATACTAAAGTCAACATCATTCCTATCATAGCCAAGGCTGACACCATATCAAAGACTGAGTTGCAGAAATTTAAGGTTAATTCAAAATTTATAGCTTGATACTTACTTTTTCAATTTACTAGATCCCTACATTTTTTAATAGTTATATTTACAGTGTAAACTCTATATAACGATATTGAAGGGACTTTGCATTTTATGGCGTTATAGACAGTTGTCTTTAAATAGAGAGAAGGAAAATCAGAATTAGAAAAAGACAAAGTTTATTTCAGACTAGTGTTATAGTACTTATGTACATAAAAAAGATGTTATTCGAGCTATTGTGTATAGTCTGTTATTTTTGTTTGACGTCTTTTGCTGCACCAGTAATGTTGTTTTTTTTTTTACTTATTTTATTCATATCTTGCCATATTGAGGCTTCTTAGAAAGTTCGGTATGCATGATTTCGACAGTCGAGTTTATTGCGGTCTAAGATAAGCGATAAAAGAACGTACACAGCTGCGTAGTTTTTACTAATTTCAGCAACTTAAAAGGTACTTTTTATTACTTAATTGATGTCGTTATTGAGAGTGGGTGTGATGCTATGTAGAGTGTATCATTGTATGGTAGACAAGCTAAACCAACCAAAGTCGAAAATGATTTCGACGCTTTAGAGTTTGTCGTTAAATCGAGTGACGTTACATGGAGTTTACACTGTATTTGTAATAGGAATTATAATAATTCACTAAGATTATCACCTAAATGCAATAATATCAAGCTATTTGGAATCAGGGCATCTTAGAAGTCGTTTTTTTAAGTGTATAATAATAATAGTAAATAATTTATTCAAGTTAAAACACCATTACAAAGAAAAAACATATAAAAAAGTAACAGTGAACAAAAACAAACCAAAACATTAAAAATAATAATAAGATAAAAAACCACCACCATTTTTAAAATTATTTTAATCTTATCGAGTTACTGGAGACAGAATAGAGGTGTTTTAACCAAAAAAGGCTGCAACTCAGCGTACTGCTGCAATAAATTTGGATTTATTACAGCGCTGGTTTTCAGTTGCCACCTGTTAATGTTTTGGACCAGTAGCGGTACAGCATCTATTAAAGGTTTTTACCTAAGGGAAAGTAAAATAAACAAATAAAGAAGTTGGTGGGCTAGATTGTAGAATCAAGTCTTTGCTAAAAGTGATGTTTGAAAGTTTAACTAGACATACATACGATAGTTTTCGCCTTTAGATAACGCGTTTTTGTCTTTGTAACAAATATGCTCTAATCTTCACTTTAAAATTAAATAATGATTGCGAATTTTGTGATGGGGGAGGTATGATATGTATGAAGTTTGATTGTTATTTATTTAATCATCTAACTGTAAATCCAGTCGAAGATAATCCAGGAGCTTCAAGCCAATGGAGTGGAGATCTACCAGTTCCCTGTGGACGATGATTCTGTGTCAGACGTGAATGGTGCCATGAACACACACATACCCTTCGCTGTGGTCGGCAGCACGGACTTCGTCAAGATTGGGAATAAAACGGTGCGAGCGAGGCAGTACCCGTGGGGAACAGTGCAAGGTGAGGCCCCACGCAAAGACACAGTCCATAGGGTACAAAAAATAGTAGAAAATAAAAGAACATAGGGTAATGTCTCCACTGATCTTGATAAAAGTAGGGCATATACTGTATAGGCTATGCTATGTACATACATACATTTAGTTATTAGACCAGTTATAGGTTATTTATCCTGGAATCTAGTGTAATTCCCGCAGGATCATGGCATAACTGTTGTATTATTTTTGATGTCAAATGTATATGTGTATAGATGTATCTTCCACTTGGTTATTATATTTTGTTCTAAAACTATTCATTTCTATCAGAGGCTAACTCCAGAACTCATTCAAACAATGTCTTTGATGTTTAGTTAGATTATGTTTTCTATAATGATGATTAGTAAACTTACTGTATTAGTTAATTTATAGAGAAGTAACTTCCATAAAATATTTTTGGGACTGTCGACATCTTATTTGAAAGTTCAACACGGTATATGTTTACAGTTGAGAACGAGTCTCACTGCGATTTCGTGAAGCTTCGTGAGATGTTGATTCGCACTAACATGGAGGATATGAGGGACAAGACTCACGCCAGGCATTACGAGCTGTATAGAAGGAGGAGGCTCGCTCAGATGGGCTTCTCTGACGTGGATGCTGACAATAAACCTGTGAGGAACATGAACTATCTATAGGAACACAGAGATTTAGATAGATAGATTTATTCTTTATTGCACCCAATTCTAAAACTAAAAAAATAACATTTTCGTTACATATTAGTGCAACATGCCTTATCGCTAAGCAGCGATCTCTTCCAGGCAACCTTTGGGTAAAGGAACATAATGTTAATATGTGGGAAGTACAGTAACGCTTACCACACGGGCCATTGATAGATTCTGAATTGGCAGTATTACCTTATAAGGAATAGTAACATGTGTTTTAAGAAATGAAAAGACTTAAACATCTACTTCATAATGATTTCATCTGATATATTTACAAAAGTGAGATCACACTGGTCCTTATATCAAAGGTCGTTGACCGTATCTTATCTCTGCCATTTATATATACACACTAGCTTTCCGCCCGCAGCTTCGTCCGCGTGGAGTGCCGTTATATCGCGTTTCCAAGAGAACTTTTCAAAAGTCTTGGATAAAAACTATTCTATGTTCTTTCTCAAGGTCAACTCTATCTCTGTACCAAATTTCATTAAAATCAGTTCAGTGGTTTAGGCGTGAATGCGTAACAGACATACAGACATACAGACAGAGTTACTTTCGCATTTATAATATTAGCAGGGATAAGAGTCAATTAACATTTTAATTGATGTCATACATTGGTTTTCTAATTCAGATTTTGATGCACTAATTAAATGTCTATAAATAATACTTGGCTTAATAAATACTTTAAGATTACATCATACATGTGCTATGTAATTAAGATGTATTTATGTGTGTGTGTTCCAGGTGTCGTTCCAGCAGACGTTCGAACAGAAGCGCAGCGCTCACCTGCTGGAGTTACAGCAGAAGGCAGACGAGGTGCGGCAGATGTTCGTTCAGAGGGTCAAGGAGAAAGAGGCCGAACTCAAAGAGGCTGAGAAAGAGGTGACTCATATACACATATTATAACATTCTATATACATAATATATTATAGATTTACATTGGTATTTACTTAAAAATGCCTTTAGAATGTGTGCTTGTAAGAAATAGTTATTCTTAACATACATAATATTGTTTCATGGGTTAAAAGTGTTTTCATCATACATTTCATATATTACATTAGAGTTGTGTTCTTGACAAGTGCTTGTTTCGTTCCTGTTTTACGATTTTGTAAATGTGTCATCTTTTTATATTTATTGTTTATATTACATTCAATTGACATCTCTTCCATCCATCTGTTTCCAGCTTCACGCAAAGTTCGACAAATTGAAGAAAGAGCACACGGAGGAGAAGAAACGCCTCGAGGAGCTGAGGAAGAAGATAGAAGACGATACTATAGAGTTCAACAGACGGAAGGCACAGAGTGCACAGAGCACGCACACACTCACACTGGGCAAGAACAAGAAGAAGTAACGACGACCAGCACAGAACACATGCACAGACACACAACACTGTGTTTACATCGGATAACTTGCTGTGTTTGCCAAATTCGTATATAATCAAGTGTTACATTTCTCTTCACTACATATTTTTATCGTAAAAATAGCGAGTGATGATCGGTGTAGTCGACATATTAACACTGATGCACTCGTCACTTGTTGTGTTGTAACATGATAATTGATACACCGTAGTTTAATGTTCAGTGAGGCCGGCAGGCGGCGCCGAGCGTCAAGCTTGTATGCGGTGTGTGAAGGTTGTAGACTGAGAGGTTTCTTTGCACTTAGCCTTAATTAAGTTGGAACGTTTTATACCAAAATATATTTTATTCCTTAGAGTTAGTCTTCATAACTGATGAGATAGTGTTAGTGTTTCTGTGTAATCGGTTAATGATAAATGTATTTTACAATATAACGTTGAATGCTTATCGAGATGCTTTAAGGACTATAGAGGTTTAAATAAAACTAACTTTGGTTATGTTTGAATAGTTTATGAATCGCCATTAGTAATGCGAGTTCGCCGCTAAGTAACATAGGTATTACATCACGTGCCGCCATTGAATATATTTGTTTACTGAAATTGACTAATTGACTGATTTTGTGAACGATGTGGTTGAATTTGATATCTGAATTAAAATCCATGAGAGGGAGGTGATGTTTGTCGAATATTAATATCAGCATATTTTATGTTCCGGCGATGATCCAGACGAAACTAAATTATTTAATAACAACGATTGAGAATAGTAATATAATTAATTGAATTAATAGTTGGTTACTGTGGCCACCGGCGGGGACATTAATAAATGATCTTGAAGTATATTGTGTGCTCTCTTAATAGTTTATGATTCATTCCTTTTTTAGTGTTAATGTATGTACTCTATTTCCATCTCCAGTCTGTATTACAATGATTTGTATTATTTTATAGATATTATTTAAATAAAACGTAATCTATTGTATGTGTTTATTGTACCTCCGCCGCCAGTAATTCTCAAGTCCAGTAAGATTTTTCTTCAGTATGTAACAGAACCTGTCGCATATCGCATGTATGAGTTGTACGTATTAAAATATTTGTAATTTTTATTATTCCTATAAGTTAAAGAGCTTTACAATTGATCTGAACTTGAGTAATTGATACCACTAGTAAGCAAATTTTCATTTTTTTCTGTGAAATCATTCATTAAGGTCATTGTATGAAAACCAAAGAACGCTTCGTGTGTATGTAACAAAACAGACTTGTGCTAAGCTTACACCGGTTTTGTTGTTTTTGATCAGTATGTTTAAACAAAAGAAAACTAGAAGATTCATTGCAATCCCTAGTGTTATATTTATTTTTTAACATTTTCTTTTGCTAATGTCTAAAGTGTATTGGGTTTCGAATTAGGAGGTAATCTTGATTGTTGACCTTCCATTTTATTTCCCGTTACTATAAAGAGTAGTATGGACATGTTTGATACTTTAGTTATAACTTGGATACGTCGCAATGCCTATAGCTAGTTAAAATGGAAAGATCTATCAGTACCAGCTTGTCTCGGCGATTTGACTGAGTGGATGACGATGAAAATGATGTTACATTCGGATCAAAATAATGTAGCTCACTTTTACTTCCTGAAAATCTTTCAATACTTAAAAGAAAACTGGCACAGTGTTTATTTGTTGGCAAGTCAATCCGTGAAACCCTTATCGATTATATAAAAATTTAGAAGTCATTCAGAATGACTGTTGATAGTTCTTGTTGTAAAAATTGACAAGAATTACGCAGAAAACGTTGTCATATTTAGCAGAAACTATTTTATTGACGGCCTACGGATGTAACGTAGTAAGACCCAGTTACACCAATCAGTGTTTGTTTAGTGTAATCACAGCATTTACTAACCAACCTTCAAAATTATAAATGTCTGTTAAAATATTTACGTCCCACGATGACAAATTAACAACGCATTATTAAACGTCATGTCAAATGACCGACTACCAAATTATTTGTTCTTGTTATAAGACGACCAAGTGGAAACTATAGCGTTTAACACGGCACGTTTGCCACGATGCACCACTTTATACTTTGATCTTATACTTATATCCCTCGATACGTCACTTGTAAGCTAATGCGACCAAATTTTATATATCGTTGGTTGCATACATATAGCACACAAAAAGCTTTCTTTTCAATTTACTAGGTGTAACTTGTCAAAATCGTGTTGTCAATAAATATATTATTGTTTGTTATATATTATTGTTTTTTTTTTATGTGAAAGGTGGCAAACGAGCAGACGGCCCACTTGATGGAAGGTGGTTACCGTCGCCCATGGACATCCGCAACATTTTGTTGCGGATGCATTGCCATTTGCCCACCTTGTTTTTTGGGGGTAGGGAGGGGTGGGAATAAGGAAATGAAAGGAAAGGGTAGGAATAGGGAAAGGGCAACCGGCTCTCTCACTCATCAGACGAAACGCAGCCAGTAAAGGCTACTTCACGCCGATCTTCTGAGAGAGGGTGGTACTTCCCCGGTCGAGTCAGCCCATGTTCGAGCTGTAGTAACTCACCACAGCTAGGCTCTACCACCTATCAAAAAATGTTATAAATATAGACACAGATTGTGTTCAAATCTATAATATAAAAATGAATCGCAAAATGTGTTGGTAAGCGCATAACTCAACAACGCCTGGACCAAATTGGCCAATTCTTTTTTTAAAATGTTCGTTGAAGTCCAAGGATGGTTCTCACGGCGAGAAAAATCTAATAATTGACAGGAAAACCCTAAAAACGACCCTTTTCTTTTTCACATACAAACGTTTTCTAACTAAAACGTAGAAACAATTTGAACTTTATTGCTATTATATAAAGTTCATATTCAATTACAAACACTCACTGTTATCTAATAAATGCAGGTGTTCCTAACGTTAGAAAGTAAATTTGCACCACCTGAGCGCTACACAAAGTTCAAATTCAATCATATCTATCAAAACAGTGTGCGTGTTTGCGTTGGAGCATAGAATACGTAGTTGGAGAATTGAATGTCGCTTTCAGAAACTAAAAAAAGTGACCGCGAACCCGACCAATTGAATAGTCGCAAAATATAATAATAATCATCAGATTTGAGATTTGTTTGTCTATGCGCCAGGTAATCAAACAAAAAACATCGTTTATCACAAAGCAATACAACGAAAATAGAACTGATTTTTTTTGTTAATAATTATGATTTACATGATTAGAATTACTTACTTTTAAATGCATGATACATAGGCTGAGCTTGACGTTTGTGTGACTATATTAGTCTATGATAAAGAAAAAAGAGCGCGGGAATTGAAACGTTGACGCGGGCTTTTTGAAAATTTTAATTATTTGTATGGGTTCACCCATACATTAACATAATTTTATTGTACGTACACATTCATAAGCAAATATAAATGTAAGCATTGTCATAATTTAGTCAGTATCAATAAAGCGTTCAAATAAACAGGTCGTTCTCATTACCTAAACGCGATACTCACAAACTAGCTGGTCTCCATAAAACTATCATATCTAAATGGTGTGTGGTACCAAACCCATACATTATTTTAAATCGTTTTATACTATAATTTGCAAATTTTTGTTTAGTTTATTGTAAAGAAGTAAAACTTAGTCTGTATATAAGTGTTTATGTGGAGAGGTGGTGAAAAAACGTAAAAAGAAGGATTCGGGTGAGTCCTTGAATTTCAGCACAAGCAGCGATTCCGATTGCGAGGATTCGCCGGTATGCAGGATGCAAATGCCTTCGCTCCCTTTAGGGTCGCTGATTATTGTCGGCGATACCCTGAAGATGCGGAAGCCAAGTCTGAATTCATAGAATTTGTCGAAAGTACTAATGATGTCCCACTCGGTAATAGGGACATGATGTCGCTTAGTACTAGTTTTATACGCTCTGTGAAAGGTATACAATATTTAAAAAAAATAAATCAATATAAGGTCGGTGTTGTTTTCCAACGCGCTAATTTGGCAAATGCCTTTTTAGAAAATACTACATATCCAATTATCAACAACGACTTAAAGCTTCAATACCAGCAGGGGCCACCGAACTATCGGGAGTTATCTCTTCGGTTCCCACTCATCTATCCAATCACAAAATATATAAAGCAATATCAACAACAAAAAAAGTCATTTCTGTCCGACGCATAATGCGTAAAGTAAAAAGAGAAAATAACACCTTCACACTGCAACCTACTCAGAGCGTAGTAATAACTTTTGCATCTGCTACGTCACTGCCGGACTATGTTCACATTAAGATGTGGCGCCTGCCTGTCTCCACATATGTCCCACCCAGTGGCGACTGTACCTTAAGTGCACTCGTGCGCTGAACCACCAATTCAAAAATTTTAATAATTACAAAATATGACTTCATCTTTAATTTTAAATTACCATTTTAATATTTATTTTTTAAACATACAAAAACGTATAAAAAATTAAATTTCCAATTATGGTCAAAAAATTTGAGCGCTTCACTAAACTAATATCTCGTGCGCTTCGGCGAGTGCACGAGGACTGCTAATACATGTTGTATGAGATACGCATTAACACGCCTGGCGCGTGAAACAAAAGATAGTTTATAGAAATGTACCGAGTAATGAGTCGGTTCTCGAGCGACCGAAGATTACCGAGAGCACCCGATGTATGACGAATTGAGCCTTGATTGACATCTCGTTATATCGTTTTGTTGCATTTTCTAATTTTAATATTTTAGTAAAGTGCGCCACCAGTTTTATAACCCACCAGCCGCCACTGGTCCCACCTATAAAACAGTGTTTTAAATGTTTACGCTATGATCATCTGGCTAAATTTTGTAAAAATTCACCGCGATGCTCCATATGCACAGAATGGCATTCTTTCAAAGAATGCAAGGTTAACATTGAAAAGGCTAAGTGCATTAATTGTAATGGCAATCACATTGCCATCTCTAGCCAGTGCCCTATAAGGCAAAAGAAAATCGCAAACAGTAAACCCAAGTCA